GAGAGAGAGAGAGAGAGAGGGAGAGAGAGAGAGACAGAGACAGAGAGAGACAGAGAAAAGGAAAAAAGAAAAAAATACAAAAAGGAGAAAAATCCCTAACCAGTCCCCCCCGCCAAGTTCAATGAAAGAGAAAGAAAGAACAAAATGAGAAGAATAAATAAATAAATGAATAAGTCCCTCTGTATTTTTGATTGAATGGTTTCCTTCCAGGGCTGCAGTCCTGGGATCCAGAATTACATTCTCCCCGCCCGGCTCTGTGGCCTGTGGGTTGGTAAGGTGGCCCCTCTCATCCAGAGACCCCGTTGTCACACACCCCAGACTGCCACAACCACACGAGTCAAGGTGTGCCCCTGTTCACACTAGTAAATGGGGGAAGCCAATCAGTCCATGGTCTCTGCTGGGAGTCATGCAGCAAGGTGGGGGTTCAAGTAGGTTCTGGACTTAACGCCAACACTTGCAGATCAAGCCATCTCTGAAAGCCACACTCGCCAGGCCTGGCTACCAGGGCCCATGTCCTTCCTGGGCTTCCACTGCTCGGGGGTCTATGTTTAGCCTGCCCTCTCTCTCTCTCCCATGGCTGTCTCTCCTCCAGGCCCATGGGAGGGTAACCCTGAACCCCTGCAGTGGAGCTGTTCTGTGCCTTAGTCTAACACAAGTAGCCCCTTTCCAAAACAGGGCCTGATTAAACTCTCGCAATATGGCGGGCACTCCATTAGGTTCCTTCTCCTGTTCTACTCCGCTGTGAAGGAGTCACTCTTGAGCAAAGTCTCACACTGTTTGTGCAGTTTACAACAGCTACGTACCTTTCTCGGGGCTAGTGCTGCTGGCCAGCTCTGTAATTTCTCCCTGGATCTGCTGACCCTCAGATTGCTTTCTCTTCCGGTTCACTGTCCTGGTCAACCATCAGGTTGGTCAGGTGCCTGGCACCTCTGCTTCCCTGTGCTGAAGAAACAATGCAGACCCAGCTCATAGTTAATGCGTGGCCACAGACAGAGTGGGGAATCCGCAGGTGCAGAGTCGGTCGGGGGCTAACACGAGGATCGGTGTGGTCTACCTGGTTGTGGGTCCGTCCTATAAATGTCTACATTCTTCAAATGTGGTGCCAATACTGAAGATGTCTCACATGTCAATTACTCAAGTCACTGATTTTTACATGAAATCAAATTACTTCTGAACCACAGAGACTAGGTGAAAATGGAGCTTGTAGCTTGAAACAAAGCCAGTCACACACACAAGCCCACACTCTGCTCTCCTTCTAGGACTGCTCTGATGTCATGGTCGGTAGTCTGAATTCATGGTCCGAGGTTCACAGCTGCTGGCATTTTATATTCCTGTGGGAAGCTTGTCCTTGAAGACATTTAGTTTTCCTACTTTCATACTGGTATAAAACCTGGGCTACAGGTGAGGAAAACCACTATCTTGCCCTCTCCTCTGTACTGTAAGTTCTGAATTAAAGCTTGAAATAACAAGATATGCCACGAAAAATCTTAGCCAGAACTTCCATTCACCACTGCTTCCCTCCTCCTGGATTCTCATTGTGAATTAAAAAGAAAAGACCCTATATGTGTAATCATTTCTTGTTTCTTTATTACCCACTGAGGATGATGTGTAATTATTTTTAAGAATGAGAATGAACAAAATTGCAAGGTGTTTCACTTACTAAAAAACGTCTTTCCTTGCTGCAAACCAAGCATGCCCACAGGTTCTGAATTGTGTTGTTTTTATTCATGCTACCTCCAGGCTGAAGATCAGCTTGGTAGCCTCAGATTCCAGCGATGGAATATTTTAGGGAGCTGTGGTGCTGAGTACTGTTTAATGTCTAGTCAGTCCTCTTGGTCACAGTTGTTGGATTCTGATCTTCCTGGAAGCCAAGTGGCAGCTTCCCAGGACACACCGTGAAGACACCCTAAGCCCTTTCCCTGGCTAATAGTCCCCCTGTGTCATCAGTAAGGAAGGAGGAGACTTCGGCAGCATCTCACCTAGGCATGTTTTCATTTAACAGAAAAGATGAGCCCACAGGCCAATGGCCCCACAGCTGCAAGCCCAACCCCAGAGGAAGAGCTCCAGATGGGGCAGATGATGGCAAAGCGCGCAAAAATCATCAAGGAGCTGATCCAGACGGAGAGGGATTATGCTAACGACCTGGAGCTGTGTGTGAGGGAAGTGGTTCAGCCCCTGAGAAACAAACAGGTAAAGGCAAACTTGAGGTCGTTTGTGCTCTTAGTTTTTCTCTCCCACATCCTAAGTAGAATGCCAGCTCCATAACAGTGTGTCTTCTGCCTTCATCAGAGTCCTAAGTTGATGCAACTCAAGGCAGACCCCTGCTTATGGCAGGCAGAGACCCTGCTGTCCCTCTGAGATACAAAATACAGGAAGAAAGAAATTCAGTTTGTGAAATTTCTGTGTTCTTTGGATTTCTATGAAACTAGTAACAAATTTTGAGCAACAGGTTTTCAACGGGCTGGGAATGATGTGCTTAATTTAATTCAATGATACTCATAGGTTTAGAAGAGAAAAAGATGTGAATGGCCCCCACATACACACACACATTGAGAGCTTGATTGTTCCTGTTTAAGTAAAATTCAACATAAAAGTTCTGAATGTGTAAAAATGTTCTCTTTGGTGGGATTGGCCCCAGATAAATCTTAAAGTGGTTAGAAGTTAAGCATTGTTCCCTTTAATCGAGGTCTGTCCGGGGAATTTCCTGGAGGGCATCAGAATAAGGGCACAAGGATATTTACCTTGGTATGAAGGTGCACATGTGTACACACACACACACAATTATTTCATGCATTCACACTCATGTGCCCTGCGCTGTTTTCAGCACTGATTACAGTGGAGTGCAAAGCCCTGCCCTGTGGGGTTCACTCGCTTTCCAGGGCAAGGAGGAAGGAGTCAGACAATAGACAATGGATCAGCAGCATGTAAAAGCGCAACAGATGCTGGCAAGCACAGCTGAGAAAACCAAAGCAGGGAGGAAGGGGAAACAGAACGGAGCTTCTCAAAGACCATCACGACCAGCGTGGCTGGGAATCCCCCATCAGACATCGTTTTGGATACATGTGCATATAAAACTTACATAAAGTGATTAAAACTGCAGATGCTATTTTGAGATATACATGTCTCATTCGGCAATATGTTATATGTATCCTTTCATGACTTCTCATTATAAGCATTTTTCTATTATTACTGATGCTGAGATGTATGTCAGTTTAGGGTGTTTTCCTTTATTTCCTTAAAATAAATTCCTAGAAATGGAATTGCTACATAAATATTACTGTACATTTCAGATTTTGATAAAAATTGCCAACTGTCAACTAGAAAGATAATACTGCATTAATTTTCATTCCCTTTAATGACTGGGAAGACACTGTCTCTGTATCCTCTTTAATGCTGAACAAAGCCAATTTTATATTCCTCTATTTCCTTCTAAAAATATCTTATTTTTTTATTAATTTTTATGCTTCTAATTTCTTTTCATATCCACATATTTTGTCCTTTTAAAAATTATGGTTTATCTGTTATTATTTTATAAGATCTTTTGTACATCACAGTTTTCCATCTTACATGTCACAAGTAATTTTCCTAATTTGTCCTTTGCCTTCTCATCTTGGTTATGGTGCATGTTTAGTTTGTTTTTACCATTCTAACATAGTTTAGTATATCCAACTTTATTCAATATGGGCTTGGTATCTTAACATATACTCAGTCATTATAAAAGTATTGTTAGCTAGTTGCCCCAACACCAATTATTAACCCCACCTCCAGTACTTACAACAGTCAGAAGTAGAGTTCATAATTTTTTTTTGAAACAGGCTTTTGCTCTATAATTTAGGCTGGCCTTGAACTCACTATGTAGCCCAGGCTGGCCTCAAACTTGGGACAATCTTCCTGCCTCGGTCTTCCAAGTGCTGGAATCACAAGCGTGTGCCGCTACCCCTGGCGATTTTATATTTCTCAATGCAGGACTCTTCTCAAAAATACTAGAAAGATGACCCAGGTTACACACTGGGGAAGCCCAGTGTAGGTCAAGGGACCCTTGATACAAAGGCTGCTCTTTGGTTTAAGATGCCATGCATGGAACAGTGTGGCAAGGTAGGCTTGGTAATCTGCTTCCTGGGAAGCTGTCTTTAGTTTTACCCCATGACTTTTTATGGTGTGTTCACTGTGGGTCAAGTCCAGCTCCAAGAAGTTCATTAACATTCTCACTTGAGCCTACCGTAGTCTCATGTCAGGAGGAAACCACCACATTTCTGAAAACCTGGAAATTTCCTACCAATTCTGTAAAACTAGCAATACTATTCATGGCTGAGACGAAAATTTGCTCTCTTCTGTCATTGCTAAATATGTAAAAATATTTGGGGTGTGTTTTTTTCCATTTTATATAAACTAGCTGTATCTCATATACCTTCTACTCTGGCAGATATTGATTATCAATAAAATACTCATTTACACACTTACTAATATTGATTTTAAAGCACATAGCACTAGACTCTGCTGATACCTGCCCTTCCTTATGGGGTGAGCCTGCCCATTAATGCCTATCCCTTGAAAATTTAGAACCTAGCCCACTGCCTTCATTCCTTTTCTCTCTTCTTAATTTGGGCATCATTTTTAGGTCATTCTGATGTCCATGCAAATAATCCATGTAACATCTGGGCGCCATGTTCCTCAACTTGTCCATATCCAGTGAGCTCTCCTCAACCATGTCAGCCACTCACCAAGGTCATCTTAGAATTTGTCATGACTGGTAAATGCAACCCCTTAAAGTCAGAATTTTGAGCTCACTGTCCTGTAGTCCTGTCTTTCTTGCAGCCCATTGCTAGTGCTCTCCCGGCTCTGACAGTGTCTCGATGATACCTGGACATCCAAACTATCAGCTTTATCACCTTCCCAGCCTCCATCATGCCCACACGTGGTTCAGTTCCCATGAGTCTTTAATTCCCTTTCTCTCTTTCTTGTCATTTGTTCCCCTGGAAAAACCCTACTCTGGTTAAGTTCAGTGTTATGTCCACTTCAAATCTTTGCTGTTGAAGCTGAACCGATCTATTACATTCAAGACTATTTTCTTCACATGGTTCTCCCAGTAATGTCTCAGAGGGGACTTTCTCGGGTTTTTTCCTCACACCTGAAACATGCCTTCTTCTAACCTGACTCTTATGAAATGTCTTTTTCCCTGAGAAAGTAGACACAACAGAGAAGATGCACATTCTCCCAACTCCAAATTACTTGCTTCTCTACTCACGTAACCTGGCTTCCTTTTATTTCAAACCCAGTCGATCTGCATTTAGTGAACGACAGCCTCGCCACTGTGTAGCTGAGCCCTCCCTCTGCTAAGCCAAGGACTTGCTCTTGCTGTGTCCTTTCCAACTTCTGCATAACTAATTCTACCTTTGGTGCTGGATCATTCTCTATTATTGGCTATCTTAAAAACAAACAAACCAAAATAACTCTCTCTCAGACCTAAAAGAGTTATCTAAATTTTCTGTATTTCTTTCTCTTTTTAAATTAAATATAAAATATTTAATATGTACAAAATATATGTGTTTAAAACATGTTTCAAAATAAGTAATATACAGGAAAATGCCTTTCTTTGAATTCATGTATTTATATCCAGTGGGAAAAGTTTATTTAATATGAGGATATTGTCAATTTTAAACCACCTACTATGCTGTGGGTCAAACTGGCTCCATAGATAGGAAAGTCCCTGCCGAGCTATTCTTTTGTATGTATTCTCTACTTTTTTCGGTTTTTACGTTTTGGGGCTGTTTTTTCTTTTCCTGTTTCCTGCTTTCTCTATAACTCTTATAAACAATTCTCAGAATAGGTGTCAAATAAATCATTCCTGTTGTGGTAACATTTATGCTAATTTCTTTGGCATGTTTAACTTTTGCTCTCAATGTTTTAAATTACAGTTCTCACAATTGTAAGTCACACTTCCTATGTTCCTCAGGTTGTTTATGGCTTGTTGATTTTTCACACTCTATGTTTCAAAGTCTCTCAGTGCTCTTTGTCTTTTTTCTTATAGACTTTATTTCCATTTTTTTCCATTGCTCATCATTTTTCCTTTCCCTTCTTTCCTTTCCCCTGCCCCTCCCACTTCCCCTACCCCTTTGGACCTTTTCTTCCTATTTT